AGTTTGCAGACTGGAAAAATTTCTTATATATGCAGATTTGAAACTTTAAATTGATTGATACCTCTGTAAAACATCTGGCAGTTTATTGCACATTTTTAAAGCATAAATTGTAACGATCTTCTATATATGTTTTTGTGCAAAGGATAAGCAATACATTGCTCTGACGGTTTTATTTAATTAACATATTCAAAAATCTAACTTGTTTGGAATCAATCCTTACAGGTATTTAAAAACAAGGATGACAATTAAAACGATAAAGAAGATAGTCAATAAATGCCATCTACTTTAGTTTTAGAAATATTACCAATGTGTTTGTTTAAAAGGTTTATTTAAAATCGCTGTAGCCGCTCTTTTGTTTGGTGCTTACACGTCAGTTTGTTACAGATAAAACCGCTCTTGATTCTCTTCATTCTCCAAATGGTACAATAAGAAATGTCACTCAGAGTACATGAATAATTTTAATCTAGACAAAACATCTAATTTTCTAACTTTTAACATGTTCAGATCATGTAAGACACTTCTCAATGTTAATATCAAGTGTTTTCAAACAAGATACAAGATACAAGTAATAATGCTGCCCACTTGAATACTAAATAGATTCCTTAAGTTTTTTTAACCTCTGTTCCGTTCTAATTAACATACACTGAATGTTTTAAATATTGATTGTTTTTCTTTAACCAATCTTACGTATCGATAAAGTCGCTATGTATTTTATCTTTTGTAACATTTTAACGCTTATCTTTAACATTCTGAGTTGATGTTCCACAATGAATGGAATGTACATTACCAAAATATTACAAAAGTATTATTTATTCATTCTAAGTCAATAAATTACTTCACATCAACAAACAAAGGACGAATTCAGATTTTTTTATCATTGACATGAAATCCAAAGGTAGAGGATATGTCGCGTCTTTAATCAGTGTAATTTATTGCTTGCAAAAACATGTATATTTAATAATGTCTCTCTTTATTCCACAGAGGTCTACCGGTTTCTTATTATAACTTTGCATAAAATATCAAGTTATTCCTATCTGAAAAAAAATGAAAACTTCACTTTTCTCAAAGAATAATTTATAATATTCGTCGGAAGAAAGATGACAGGCGCCTAATTTACAACACATGATATAATACTGAAATAAGTAAGTAAATTACAGTCGTAATATGGTAGATAATGATAAAAACTGACAAACAACATCTTAGTATCACTGTCCCTTTCTGTCTGTTCAACAATATCTCGCTAGATCGTCTAGTAATACAAAAACAGTATATCTTTTCATAACAAAGTCGAAGTGCAATACAATATTCAAGTAAACGATAAGATAATAAAATAATATGAACAATAAAACATTTCTAATAAATTTACAACTGGATGCTACTTTACATCACTCCACCATCAGCCTGTGATTAATATGGAAAATTCTAAAGTCCAACCCCCATCCATATAACTATATTATCGAAAATATCTGTTTAAATCGATTTAATTTTTACAGATGTCCACAGTACGATCAAAGGGAACTGTTTTTCCAGTTAACAGTTGTCCTGGGAACATTTCTGAAGTTGGCCAGGCTTCCAAAAGACTAAATTGCTCTGGAATTGACCAGAATAAAAACACCTATCATTGTTTACCATTGTCTGACCTGTCTCAACTTGTTGAATTGTGCTATCAAACAAGCTATTTGATTGAAACAGGTAAGATAAATTGATTTGATGTTTATTCTGACAAACATGGGTCGCTCAGGTGGCGCAGTGGTAAGGGCCTCTGTTCTAGAGTCGCAGAGTTAGGAGTTGATCAATACATCGCAGGTTCGAATCCCACTGTGGGACGTAGATACAGGTCCTTTGGATGAAACCTTATAAACTGGGATTCCATGTCGCAGTAGGTGCTGGCACGAAAAAGATCACTCCTTGCTCAATGGCCCTAAGTGCCGAGTATAAGACAAATCTTGCAGCTCTCCACCAGCAAGTGGTGTCATCTCAATATGAGTGAAAAATTCTCGAGAGGGACGTTAAACATTATACAATCAACCACTCTGACAAACTTGGTGATATTAAATGGTTGTTTTATTTTTAGCCAAAAAATGTTTACCTTTTCATAAAAAAAGATAAATAAGTAGCATGTTACATGCACAATCTTCTTGCATTCCTTTCAACGACTGATAAATTTCAACAAATCAAATTATCTTTTTAGGTCACCTGAGTAAACTCATGTGACCTATTTCTATCCGTTTTCGTCCATCGTCGTGCGTTGTACGTCGTGCGTTAACTTTTGAACATTTTCAGCTTCTTCTCTGTAACCACTCAACCAATTTCAACCAAATTTGGCATAGAGCATCTATGGGTCAAGGGGAACAACAATTGTGCATTTCATTATCCCTGCCCCCCTGGGACCGGAGGGGTGGGGCCAAAACCACTAAAATTAATGCAATCTTAAAAAAATCTTCTTCTTTACTCCTGGACATCAAGCAGTCAAACTGTTTGCATGATGTAATCAGCAATGAGTCCTCTACCAAAATTGTGAAATTCATGGCCCTGGGGTCAGGAGTTCTAGTGCAAGGGCGGGCGCGGGTATGTTAAGGCAGCACATGGACCAGAATTCGGCGAATTAACACTTTTTTTAAATTATGTAACACTAATTAATCGGAAAAGTCAAGGATAAAACTTTTGTTATAATTATGCATTCTATAGAATTCAATGGGACTTATACTACATGAAGCACTTCACCATGGCGTCACCACGTGACGTCTATAATTAGAAAAAATGCCTTAATGAAAAAGTGAAAAATTCAACACTACCCCAAGAATAATTAATTTCAATTTGTAATGATAGTTATATAAATAACATCTCTGTACCGTGAAAAGTGCTGCTAGAATCCTACTGTCCTATCACAGAAATAATCATTCAACACTTTTGGACGAAACCTTCCCAAATTTTTTACATTTTGTTCGTAACATCGAAAAAATGCATTAATTCCCGTAAACCATACGATTCTAGCAGCACTTTCCAAAAACAATAGAATAAGAACTTGAGATAGAAACAACAATTAAGTTTCAAAGTGTGCGGCGTAGTGTTGAACTTTGGCATCTTACTTGTTACGGTCGACAGAGGAAAGGCTGATCAGCAAGTAAACACCCTCCCTGCTTTAATTTTACGAAGAAATTGTAGAAGTATATTACCATACCTTATTCATAAGCTTTATTCCCACATGATATTCATTCTAAATGCTTTTAAACTCCGATTTCTTGTGTTTGTTTACATGAATTCTCGTTACGTTTCACTTTCACTCTGCTACTGAATGATCAACAGTTATGACGTCACGGGTTTGGTATTTAACCCCTGTGATAACTACAGAGACCCAGAAACGACACAATTCCGTTTATATCATGCCTCTGCATATTTTGATTAATTTTTACGACCTCAAATCAATCTTAGATATCGATTATAAGAAATTGTTATCTCTAAACCTCACGTCATATAGCTTACTGTGACGTCATATCATATAGGCAAGTAGAATATTTGGTTGTAACATTAACCTACCTGCGGGGCTAAATAAGTAGGTAGTGAAATGCATTATTTCTTTGAAAATCTTCTTCTCTGCTCCTGGGTATTAAATAAACTAACTAAGTACATAGTTATGATGAGCAAAAGTGCCTCTACCGAAATTGTGATTTATATGGCCCAATGGTCTGGGGTTCTGGTGTTAGGGCGGGGCTCTATTGATTACAATGTATATGGTGAAAATACATGAATTCTTTGAAAATCTTCTTCTCTGCTCCTGGGTATTAAATAAATTAACTAAGTGCATAGTTATGTTGAGCAAAAGTGCTTCTACCAAAATTATGAATTTTATGGCCCCAGGGTCAGGGTTTCTGGTGTTAGGGCGGGGCTCTTTTGATTATATAGTGACAATTCATGAATTCTTTGAAAATCTTCTTCTCTGCTCCTGGGTATTGAATAAACAAACTAATTGCATAGTTATGATGAGCAAGAGTGCCTCTACCAAAATTATTAATTTGATGGCCCAAGGGTCAGGGGTTCTTGAGCGAGGGCGAGGCTCTATTGATTATATAGTGAAAATACATGAATTCTTTGAAAATCTTCCTTTCTGCTCCTGGGTATTAAATAAACTAACTAAGTGCATATTTAAGATGAACAAGAGTGCCTCTACCAAAATTATGAATTTTATGGCCCAAGGTTCGGGGGTTTTGGTTTTAGGGTGAGACTCTATTGATTATACATGTATAATGAAAATACATAAACTCTTTGAAAATCTTCTTCTCTGCTCCTAGGAATGAAATAAATTAACTAAGTACAAAGTTTTATTGAGCAAGAATGCCTCTTCCAAAATTGTTAATTTTGTAGCCCCAGGGTCAGGGGTTCTGGTGTTAGGGTGGGGGTCTATTGATTATATAGTGAAAATACATTAGGTCTTTGAAAATTTTCTTCTCTGCTCCAGGGTACTAAGCAGATGAACTACCAATATAGTTATGATGGACAAGGGCCCTAATCTTCCAGAATTGTGAATTTCAAGGACCCGGGGTCAGGGGTAACTTAGAGGGAGAGCTGTACTTATATACTGAAAATGAATGAATGGTTTGAAATCTGCTCCTTGGTATTTATCAAATATTAAGGCCTAAGGGTCAGGGGTTAATGTCTGGTAGGGGCACTACTGATTATTGCTGAATATTACTAATTAGTTGAAATGCATTTTTGTTCCCCTACCCTGGCTATGCGCATAAGTAAACAAACTAAGCAACTGCTAAGTGTATTGTTATGATGATCAATGGAGCTTCTTTCAAAATTGTGAATGTCATAGCATCTGGCTTAAAACATGAAACAAATTCAATCACTGGAAAGTTGTTGAATAATGCTCAGGTGACATAAAAGGCCCTTGGACCTCTTGTTGTTTAAACATACCTTAGTATCATTTTATTAGTTTCCGTTTAGAATGCATTAAGATGTTTATTAACAGGAAACTGTATGGTCCTTCAATCCGGATATTTAAACAACCGACCATGTCTGCATTTTACTGAAGGCTGTCCCAACACGACTTACCAATCCAAACTGATGCTGAATTGTAAGTGTTTTGCTCAAATTTGTAAAGAAGAAGGTATGGTTTTAGCTTCATTGCGCCCTAAAAATGTAATGACATTAAAAAGTTTTGAAACTGGCATAAATAGTAGTTAGATAAACGACTCTGGTAAATCAGGAAAGAATATGGCATGAAGGTTTACCATTCTGCAAATATGACGTCATTAATGTGAAGCATTTCTCTATTTTCAACAGAAAAAGCATCAAAATGGCACATTTCAAGGGTGATTTTCCTTTAGAAAACATTGTCCACAGCCGTCGCCCACGTTAATTTTTTTATATTTTGTGCAAAATTCAATCACAAATTACATATCTCGAGATCTTTGTGGGCGATGCCTGTGGACAATGTTATCTGAAAGAAAATTCCATTGAAAATTGCTGTCTTCTGCAACTTTTTAAGAAAATACGGGAAAATGTACATGTTTATGACGTCATAATTAGCATTTATAAAAACATGTGAAAAAAATTACTTGTATGATTTTTATGCATTGAATTTCAATTATTTAAAAATCATGGGTTTTGAACTTTTACACCAGTTTCATTATTTTAAAAAATCACAGGGCAAAATGTGTATGGAAACCATACCTTCTTCTTTGCAGATTTTGTTACGGTTACCAGTGCGATGAGACACAGAATGCTTTATTTCAAAACAATTCATTTTATGTACATTGTATAATGATACTATATATAGATTCACCAATTTGATATGACACAAAATTAGTCATCATATTTTATCCCCAATTTTTTAACATCTCAACGCCTAAATGTTTAATAAAAATTAATACGAATGACTCTTATTTAAGATATATCCCTAACCTGTATAAAAAGAACTATGAAATTTTGGTTTTTGTTTTTATTTTAGTGCGCATTTTTGTACAAACTTCTTTAAAATGATAGTCACTATTGATTACGTAATTAGCACCATCGCCAAAATGGCACAGTGGTAAGAGCGTCGCGGAGTAAGGGTTTTATGCTAACGTTGCAGGTTGGAATCTCTCTAAGGTTTTGAGACTATCGTATGGATATCATACCTAGATTATATATAGTATATAGCATATAAACCTAGATTATACATCTTATGTTGCTATAGGTACTGGCATTTGAAAGTTCCTGCACTACTTAGTACGAATTATGTCTTAAATTTGCGGTCCTGTACCGGCAAGCATAGCTACAAACTCTCAAAAGGGATGCTAAACAAATAAACCCAAGCAGTACTTCCTTTAAACATGGTATAACATTTGTTTTAATGTACCACATTTCCTGAAAAATTCGTTTTACATTAGTTTTTATCTCTTTAAACTTTGAAAAGGCAAATAACTTCTTTTTTCAATTGTTCATCTTCATTGAAGAAAAATTTCACCTTAATTGCTTGTTTTATTTATTGCTTTGAATAAATTAACACAATTACATTTTCATTAAATTCAATCAATTTAACTTTAAATCAGTTTTTCAATGTAAGTCCATAAAATAATTGCAACATTCCCATTGTTCAATTGAAAAACACAAAGTTTCTTCTGCAAGTGTGAATCTTTTTTTAGAAACAGGCACACAAAAAAATAAAACCAAGTAAGGCGATCCTAAAGAAATATGAGCTGCATTTTAAAGGATTGTACTTTGTTGTACAGTATCAGATAAGATACAAATTTGTAGAAGAGAACAATGATGTGATTCTGCATTGATCGAAGCTTCAAAATAGAAGTAAAATGGTTACCAGAACTCTCTGTCGAGACTGTAGCTCTACTGGTTTGTATTTATAGCCATATTCCTCCGAAGCCATTGTCATCAGACCAAAACTGTAGGATGACTAGCGTTTTAAAGGAATTTAAAAGAAAATTCAATTTTGAGTAACCATGGTAACATCGTTGAAATTAAAATCCAATGCACTATTTTATGTATCTTAGTGTAGTCTACTTGTGTGCCAAGTAATATTTAAATCAAATCAAAACTGTCGGAGGAATAGCGTTTCAAAGAAATTTCAAAGAAAATTCTATTTTTAGTAACCATGGCAACACCATTCACCAAAATTTAAAAAACAAATGCATTATTTCATGTATCTTAGTGTAGTCTACTTCTGTGTCACGTAATATTGAAATCAGACCAGAACTGTAGAAGGAGTAACATTTTAAAGGAATTTCAAAGAAAATTCTATTTTTAGTAACCATGGCAACACCGTTCACCGAAATCAAAAACAGATGCACTATTTTATTAATCTTAGTGTAATCTACTTATGTGCCAAGTAATATTGAAATCAAATCAAAACTTTAGGAGGAGTAGAGTTTTAAAGGAATTTAAAAGAAAATTCTTTTTTTAGTAACCATGGCAACACCTTTCATCAAAATAAAAAACCGATGCACTATTTTATGTATCTTTGTGTAGTCTACTTGTGTGCCATGTAATATTGAAATCAAATCAAAACTGTAGGAGGAGTAGTGTTTTAAAGAATTTCAAAGAAAATTCTATTTTTAGTACCCTTGGCAACACCGTTCATCGAAATCAAAAACTGATGCACTATTTTATGTATCTTAGTGTAGTCTACTTGTGTGCCAAGTGATATTGAAATCAGACCAAAACTGTAGGAGGAGTATAGTTTTAAAGGAATTTCAAAGAAAATTCTATTTTAAGTAACCATGGCAACACCGTTCATCGTAATCAAAAACCGATGCACTATTTTATGTATCTTAGTGTAGTCTACTTGTGTGCCGAGTTATATTGAAATCAAACCAAAACTGTAGGAGAAGTTGCGTTTTCAAAAATTGTTTACAGACAGACGGACAGACAGACAGACAGACAGACGGACGGACGCCGGACGCATTACTATCGCATACGCTCTTCTGGTCTCTGACCAGTAGAGCTAAAAAAGTAAAAAAAAAAAAAAAACGTTCACAAAGTCATTTTTGTTTATGTCATTAAAATATCTAATTATAATATTGCAACAAACAATTCCGACATCAAAGTGGCCGCTCATATTGCTTTAACGCAAGCGTCTAATAAGAGAATTTTTCGAGAAAAACAAATCTTCTATTCTGCATTTAATATTAGAAAAAAGTACATAATGATATTTCAAAAAGTAATTCTATTCAAAAACTTACAGCATTCAAACAGTATATTTCTTTCATCCAAATGTCATTTCAAAGATATTGTAAACCAACTTATTCGCGTGCGAGAAATTTTCGCAGAGCCTCGTCATCGCGAATATTTCCTGCCGCGAACCGAATCTTAAAGTATATGTGTATATTAAAAGGAAACTTAATTAAGCTTTATCGCGAAAATTGATCGTAGCAAACTGGTTTATCCCCGACAAATCGCGAAATAAAGTAGGCTTGAATAAAAGTTGGTTTACAGTATGTGCTGCATTTCCAATTTTTTCCAGAGATTGAACTCAGTATTCGTACAAATAATTCATGTGTCTGATAGGTTCTGTAAAATTTCGGGAATCATTTATTCATCAATGCAATTAAATTCAACATGATAAGTATTTTTTTTGTCTTCAATCTCTCTTTTGAGTTTTGTTAATTCTAAGCTTTAATATGACAGTTTTGTAAAGAATAAAGTTTAATTTATCTGTTCAATAAATAAAAAAACTAATATCAATGATACATTCATGTAATCTCATTTTGTTTCTCTAGATCCAGTTTGCACAAACATTAACAAACAAAACAGATGCTATCTAGCTGACCCTTCCTGTCCTAGTTTACACAGGTAATTTTACTACGAACTAAATGTATTGTAAACAATACAATTTCTTTCTGTTCAACTAGACACCAACAAGGTACCTTGATGAAAACACTCCTTTTGTAGTGACTTTGATGTCACGACTGTCTCTCCTACAATCAACGTCAGTCTATTGTGGACCACTTCTACCAGACCGGGAGATTCTTCTGGTGGCAAAACCTGGATAGTGGTACCCGTGTTATTAGCTGCACTTGTCGTTATAGCGCTCTGTTCATGGTTGATCTGGAAACTGAAATGTCGTTGTAAAGCCAATGAGATTCAAACTGAAGGTTAGTTTACCTGAATTTTTTTTGATTTCCCTGCAAAGAGAATACGGTTTATATAGATTAGGGAAAATAATGAGATGGATGTTCAAAGACAAAGTTTTGAATGACATTGAGTGGTAATACTCTTGAAAAAACTGATAATATTCAACAGAAAACATCGAGTGTTTGATATATCGATCTATGGATAATCTTCCTTCTTTAGAAATTGGGATGTATTCAATATCCAGTCAATATTCAGAAAGGGAAGCTTTATTACAGGAGAACGAAAACGAAAACCAGTATGAAGGAGGTTAGTTGTAGAATTCTTAACATAGACACCCAAGAAACAAATTATGCAAAACAGGTTATAATTTTTGATTCAATAGTTCATTTGAAATGATTTTATTTAAGGTAAGGTTTGCGTTAACAGGGAGATAACTCTTGCGAATCACCAAAGCGTTTGAAACAGGCAAATTTAAACTAGCGATGCTAAGCATCTCGGTGACGAATTTCTCTGTCATACTTGATGTTTGTTGTCACTTAATGTTAGGACTAAAAACGAAGGACATTTTCGGGAGAAAGTCTTATAACAGATCAAAGCATATGAATCTTAGAAGGCTTTGAGATTAGCGTGATGCATATGGATGAACCAATAAAGGAGGACTTGTTTATTTTCGATACGAAACGTGGCAAGTTGCAAGGCAATTCCGATCAGAAGAAAGTCATTGAGTGATTGACGCATTGTGCTGATGTGTGTTTCTCGCTTCACCACTACACTAAAACTTTAAGTGAGAATGGGAAAGAAAAAAGAAAAGACCTGAGAGTATCCTGTAAAGTATTACATGTATGCTATATGCAGTCCGAACCGGGAAGAAAAGTCACGGTGCATTTGACCATGTCCAATGATGATGATGACAATTTGATGGTGATAGTTTCATCAGGTAATTATTTAACTATTCATTTTACTGAAAGTTATGAATGATCTACTGACTAAAACCGATGAATAAACGGTACAATGATGTCTGAATGTGACTAATATCCCAACATTGCCAAAAAATTTTAAAAAATGCACTCATTCAAGAAATTATGAAAAATAAAATCCTTGCTGTTTAGGCCTCAGAACAGGTATACAATTGTTCAAGTTACCTTTTTTAAATGAGGTTTGATTTTAATTAATATCCCATTTTCTAATTAATAAAAAGAGATACAGATTGTGCATGACAAGAGCATTAATTGTCTTGATCAATCATTTGAATTTCACTAATTCAATCTGTAATTTTTATAATAATTTCATATTGATTTTTCATTCACTATATTGGAAATTTATTCATTTCATTGAGTGAATGAAACTCAATGCAATTCCTTATACTATTCAAAAAATGCAATTCCTTAAATGTTATTGTAAAAATGAACACATGTGATTTCAGATCATGGGTCATTAATTGGAATAGATAAGAACCAAATAAGTACTTCAGTGTTTCCTATTAAAAAAGATTTGTGCCATCAATCAAAGTAGAGGTCATCCCATATCAGCTCAAGAATATTAAAGAAAGTTGGATGGATCAAGCTAAGATGTTGAACCAGACATGGCAAAATCAATGGAGATTTGGAGAAGAACATCTGACTTGTTATACCCAATGCATATTTTTATATGTCTATAGATTATAGAAGAAAATTTAATGTTCAACAACATATTTATCTAGTAAAAACATGCTGTTTTCTAAATACAGTGTATTTAGAAAAGATGTGTATCATTATGCGATGATTGCAGTTCATGCTCTGCTTGTCCATCTTTGAATTTGTTTTCAGTAAAATAAATGTAGACTACATAGGTATTAATTGAAGGTTGCCTTTGTCTATACTTACATGTAACAAATTTCTTAAAAGGGTTTGTAAAATTGCAAGGAAATTAATACATGAACAATTAAGATTAATATTTCTATTCATTAAATTTTGTTCTCACCAGGACCTAATATGCTCAAATAAGTATTTCTGAAAACTGACGAGTTTTGTATATAAAGCTGCAAAGAATGTATAATTATATCTACTGTTACAGTTTAAAACATGACACTTGGCAATTGTAAGGTTGTTAATTTAGTAGGAATGATAAGACCAATTTAGTAATCTAATGAAATTAATTTTTTTCACAAATACATGTAGTTTATTTTAAAATTATTTACATTTATAATCTTTTAAATTTTTTTCATGTATTTTCATTTTAAAAAGCAAAAAATTTTGTTATATTCAAACTATTATTTCATGGATATCAAGGAAATATATCTATCACTGTAGCATTGTTTCTTTTTACCTGTTCTTGACAAATATTTATCATAATGACAGTGTTATGTCATTTTGCAGAATTTGCCTTTTCTCTGAAATCAGAAGTACTCTGTAAACTCATTATTAAAGTATGAATTGATGTCACTTAGAATTCATCTTTATTTTGTTCTGTCTGATATTTCAATTTAGATTCTAAGACTATCTAATCCAATGATTGATCTAATGTCCATGAAGTGTAGAAATAGGCCATCTTTAAAAAAATGTTTGGTTGTCGGCCTCTCCAGACCGACTGACTAAAATGACCAGACTGAAAACTTTTTTTTCAATGCAGGGCAGTATTTTTTTCTTTTTATTCCTTTTATCCCCCTTAAAAAATGTTGTTGAAGATTTCCTCACCTACTGACCCAATAATTTTACCCTGAGTCAAGAGAGGGCAAACAAACATTACTTTAAAAATAGCATTTCTACTCTTCCAAGTAAAGAAATAATTTAATTATAAAAACAGCAGCTTCGTGGATGCAATGCTTACAACATTTCACTCAAAAAATGGCATACATGTATAATGACAGTCACCAACCATAACTGAATAAAGATATTTTGCTACAAAGATGTCTAGAAGTTACTACATGTTGGAATAACTAATCAGCATGAGGTCAAATTCATAGGCTTTTAATTGGTTTAGTTGCAACATGTTCTGAAGTATGTTTATATACATATACATGTACTTCTAAAGGTGTTGCAGTATTATACATGGACAATTTCATCAGAATATTCAAATGTAAAGATTGCCATAAATACTAGAGTTCTTCCATGGAATAAATTTTTAGAACATCATGTAACACAGGAAGAGTTTTATTTTGAATATTTTTGTTCAATTTATGCCTAAAACAATATAAAAAATAACATTAGTCTTTAACATTCACCATGACAAGGTTATATCAATGTTGTCTTTAAAATTGAAGAAAAAGCCTGATTTTTTATGTTCCGAACCCATAATATAGCCCCTGTTTCTATGGAAATAATATTGTGGACATACATATTTTTTTAGTTCAAATTAATGAAAATGATCAAATTAATAACTTCATGGATTTTGATGGAATCGGTAGATATGTAAAACGTTGGTTTTTATGTTTTTGTTGCCATGGCAACGGTTTCACTTTATCAAGGAAATTGAAAAATCTTCTTTTTTACCCAAATTTTCACATTTCTGATAAAGGAAAATTAAACGTTTAAATAATAGAAGCATGAATTATGCTAATTCCGGTCTTTTTGATAATAAAAGTTTGATAATTTACAAAATAAATCAATTTTTTCAATGAAAATAATATTCGAGGTGAAATATGAAATACGTTGAATTTGGCGTCTTTTACTCAAAAAAATGAGACGGGCAATATCTTTGAAAATCATATTAAATAATGAAGGTAATCTCCCTGAATAAATTGATATATAGCATGTGTGCATATTAAAAAAAATATGAGTTGGAGGGAGACGCAAACCTTACCTTAAGTTGTAACACGTCATTTGATTGGGTAAATGACAGGAAAAGCTTTGGATGTAATTGAGACATTTGAACTTTAGTAACTTTTGAAATTATAAATCTTAAAATATTCAAGAGACAAAATGAAAGAGCAATTTATACATTTTAGACTTTGAAAACTGCCCTTTTGTAGGAAATAGAATGAATGAAGTGACGAATCAATATTCAGAAGCGGACGCTTTATTAACTGAGAACGGAAATGAAGACCAGTATGAAGGAGGTTAGTTGTAAAATTCTTAACATAGACACCCATGAAGCAGATAATGTATATTAATTATATCTGACAAGATAACGATTTTTAATTGAAGACTGTATTCAAAAGAGGTGTTTTTTTTAAAGATATTTTATTTTTAAATAAAATTTCCATTTCTTAAGAATAGAGAAAGAAACAAACATATAAACAAATATAGAGTTTTTCAGAAAATTTTAGAACTTCTAAGAAATAAGTAATGAATGTCTAACAACGACTTATAAAATTTAAAATTGTACAGTATATACATTTGTAAATCGATTATTGTGTCAATTGATCAGATGGTATAGAGATACATACGGCGTTAGCATTTTTAATTCGTTGGGGTATCATATGATTATATTTGTTTTTGTGCTGCAACGAAAAATTGGAATCTTTTATGTATATCGCAATTTTAAGGGAACACTTACTTATAAAAGCAGTGAAAACACTCTTTTCAAAGCCATACTCAGATACATCATCAAAATATTCAAAAACAAGATGTGTTTGTGAAACACTGATGCCCCCGTATGGCAACATTCGGAAGGTAAAACTTTTCTTATATGCAAATTAAATATATTGGTATCCAAAGTAGGGTATTCTCACTGGAAATACAACCGTTAAATATGAAAGTAGGCCAAGGTGAATTTTTTTTCAGAAATCCCCAAGGTCAAGGTAATTAGCATCAAATGAATGATCTTGCTTCAAAGAATACATATGTGAAGTATGGAAGCCATTGCCCCAACCCTTCAAAAGTTAAGCCAAGGTTACCAATTTAAACAAGTATGTCTGACTCCAAGGTGAAGGTCAAAAAGTCATCATTCTTGATATCAAATTGAAGGTCTTGTCACAAGGATTATATATGTGAAATAATATATTACTAGCTTTTAGCGTGTAAAAGTTATGGCTAAGGTTCAAGTTTTATTAGTATCTAATGAAAAATCTTGCTACAAAGAATACATATTTGAAATATGGTGGCCCTAGTACTAACCCTTTCAAAAGTTATGGTCAAGGTTAACAATTTAAATTTTTGCAATGTAGGTCAAACTCAAAGGTCAGAGGGTCAGATTTGATGGTTCCCAAACAAAATCTTAGCACAAGGATGAACTATGTGAAGTATAAATGCACCAGTCCTAACCCTTTGAAAGTTATGGGCAAGGTCTGCTTCTCCAAAGTAGGTCAAACTTCAAGGTCAAGGGCATAGCTTAAGGTTAATAATTCTAGGTATCTAATAAATGGTCTACTCACAAGGATATCATATGTGAAGTATGAAAGCCCTATTTAAAAGTATTGACCAAGGATAAAGTTCTTTCACAAGGACGAATATCTCCAAGGTCAAGGTCAAATTGTCATGGTTGTTGGTATCCAATGAAAGGTCTTTCCGCAAAGAATATATATGTGAAGTATAGATGTTCTGGTTTCTACATTCAAAAGATATAGTCAAAGGAAAAGTTTGGAATTTTTGAGAAAAAGTGGATCAAACTCCAAGGTCAAAAGGTCAGATTTGATGGTACCCAAAGAAATGTCTTTCACAAAGAATACAAGGTTAATGTTTTTGTGGTCAAAAAGACAAGCAGAGACACAGAAAGACATTTAAAAAGACATTTAAAAAAGAGATTAAACATTTCTCATAGAGGCCAATTTGTTTTCTGATTTTTGCTAAAGTTCGGATTCTGTCCTAATATTAACAGCACCGAAATCCAACATACAATTGTCATGATTTCAAAGTCATGCTTGCCCAGACAAAACGTGTTTTAACATCAACAATTTTTTCGACTATAATTGTGATCAGCAGGATATCTGTTTCACCACAAAAAAGGTAAAAAAAAAAAATCCATTCTAACTCATTCCTGCTTTTGTGCATTAACGACTGGTAAAAATATATAGGAATTCTGGCTTTTTGTTAGGATTTTATAAACTCCATTTTGTTTTACTTTGAAGTTCTTCATCACAACATAAATGATATCACTTTGCCTCTTATGATATTAAGATTAAAGTACTGATGTGTACAATAAAATCTTTAAACAAAACCAATGACAAGATTGGTACAGTGTTTTATTTACGAGATCTATTTTAAATGAAAAAGCAGCTATATCTGATGTCAAAATGCTTGGAATTGCACTTTTTCGTGGGGAGTGGATGGTTTTTAAATCCCAGTTTACCATCTTTATTTCAATTTGTAAAAATTGAGGAGGCAATAAAACATTATCTTTTAAATCCTCAACATTTAATTATGCAGGAAGTACAGAAACAAATTATTATTAAGATTCCATTTTAAAAATAAAGAAAAGAATCCCCCATAAAAAATAATGAATCAATACTTATATATACAATCTTAAATCCTTATCCTGTCTACAAATATGATTTATATTTCAAAATCAATGAACTACTCTTTGGGTAAGTTTAAACGTATTGAAAAGTCATTGCAACAATTTCTGTTGAAGGTCAGCATGATGTTTTCAAGACTTAGACATTAGAACATCAACATTTTTCTGTGATGATTTTTTTTCAATATTTGAAGGTACAACTCTAATTGAAGATATTCTGAGAAGTTGGCAAGAGGACAACAAGTACTTTGTCCAAACAAGGGCAAGCACATTTGTAGAAGAAAAGATTAAAAGTCAAAATCTGGTCACGGTCGTCGGTAATTCTGGTTGCGGAAAATCGGCAATTATTCAACATATCGCACTTAAGTTAAAGGAAGAACAGGGATGGAATATTAAACCAGTCGATGAGGTGAAAGAAATAAAAGAAATATGTTCTCCTGGAATATCGCCAGATAACCAAACACTGTTTGTACTGAATGATCCTATTGGTAAGGAGACCCTCGATGATATATCATATAACTCATGGAAAACGTATGAGACAACATTGCAAACTTGCTTGAAAAGAGTTAAATTATTGGTGTCATGTAGAAGATGTGTCATTAATGACAAAAAATTAGAGGGCATTCTTAAAAAAAAATCCAACATAGTAGAAATTGACAGCAACAAATTAAATCTGACAGATAAAGAAAAAAGGGAGATATTTAATAAATACTGTCAACATATGGATATATCTGAAGAGAAAGTAAGGGAAATTATCAAAACGGAAGCTTATTTTCCTTTGCTTTGTAAAGTTTTTTCATGTGAATTGAGCAGCAGAGAAGAAGGAGTTAACCTTTTTAAAAATCCTTTTCTATTCATAAAACAGGAAATAGAACATTGCAAAATATATGATAAACACAAATATTGTGCCCTACTTTTGATAATGGCATTTAACAATAATTTAAATATTCGTTCTATAAAGAAAAATGAAATATCATTAGATAAATACAAAAACATACTAGGGATGTGTGAACTTCTGGACAACATGGACGTTTCTGTGATTGGTAGAACTTTGAATGAACTGGATGGATCCTACATCAAACGTGTCGGTCAATTTTACAAATTCCTTCACGACTTTATCATGGAGATAACGACCCTGGTGTTTGGTGTTGATTGTCCACAAGAGACGATTCGATACGCAGACGGTGGTTTTCTGAGACGTCGGATGAAGATTGAAGACGATACAGAAGAGGAAGATCGCGATCCCTTCACTGTTTACCTGCCTGAAGAGTACATCGGTGATCTTGTGGACAGGTTTATTATTGACATGCAAACAGAACACCTTGTAGATGTTCTCCTCAATCCCTGTTTAAGAAAAGAGAGTGTCATAAAATCCTTAATGGAAAAGGTAGATTCGATTGGAAATTTTCTTGTCAGAATTAAGTGTAAAATAGACAAATCGGAATTTTCAAGCTCATTTAAAGACTTTGCTGTGTCAAGACTTCAGTTTTTTGACTCGAAAGATCAAATATCTCCATTGATAGGATTCATTATATTTTGTCATAATGACATTTCTTCATTTCTCTTAAAAATTATCGATCAAACAACGCTAATACATTATTCCGTCTTTTCTGCTGTATGTGCAAATGGTAATTCAAACCTATTAAATTTTTTCAGCGAAGAATATAAGAAATTAGCAATAATGGAAATATGGGGTATTTTTTTACCAATTCATGTTGCTTCTGTATTTCATAATTTTTTAATCATTGAGAAATTAGCAGATTTCGGTGCTGATGTAAACAAGTTAACAACTGATGATAAGTGGACTCCATTACTTTTAGCTACTACAAATGACGAAGTTCATGTAACAGAAGCTGGGATGGAAACAAATGAAGGAGAGAGACGTAATATGACCATTATTGTCTTAATAAACAAGGGTGCTAACATCAATTTATGTACCAACGATGGAGCCAGTCCTCTTTATATAGCTTGTCAAAATGGACATGACAGCACGGTAGAACTGTTACTGAAAAACGGTGCCGACCTCAATTTATGTATCGATAATGGTGTTAGTCCTCTTTATATAGCTTGTCAGCAAGGACATGACAGCACGACAAAACTTTTACTGAAAAACGGTGCTAACATCAATACATGTACCTACGATGGAGTCAGTCCTCTTCATGCAGCTTGTAAAACTGGGTATGACAGCACTGTTAAACTGTTACTGAACAACCGTGCAGACATCAATTTATGTAACGAAAATGGAGTGAGTCCTCTTTACATAGCTTGTCAACATGGACATGTCAGCACGGTACATATGCTACTGAACAACGGTGCCGACATCAATTTATGTGACAAGAATGGAGTCAGTCCTCTTTGTGTAGCTTGTCAAGATGGACATGACAGCACAGTACTACTATTACTGAAGAATGGTGCTGATGTGGATTCATGTACAAACGGTGGAGCCAGTCCTCTTCATGTGGCTTGTCAATATGGACATGATAGCACTGTGCAACTGTTAATGAACAGCAGTGCCAACATCAACTTATGTGAAAAAAATAAAGTCAGTCCTCTTTATATAGCTTGTCAAAATAGACATGACGGCACAGTACATATGCTACTGAACAACGGTGCCGACATCAATTTATGTACAAAGGATGGAGGCAGCCCTCTTTATATAGCTTGCGAACATGGACATGATAGCTTGGTACAAATGTTACTGAACAACGGTGCCGACAACAATTTATGTACAAACGATGGAGTTAGTCCTCTTTATATAGCTTGTCAACTTGGACATGCTAACACGGTGCAATTGTTACTGAACAACGGTGCCGACATCAATTTATGTACAAACGTTGGAGCCAATTTATGTACAACCGATGGAGTCAGTCCTCTTTTTATAGCTTGTCAACATGGACATGCTGACATGGTACAACTTTTACTGAACAACGGTGCCAACATCAATTTAGGTACAAGCGATGGAGCCAGTCCTCTTTTTATAGCTTGTGAACATGGACATGAAAGCATGGTACAACTGTTACTGAACAACGGTGCCGATATCAATTCATGTACCAACGACGGAGCCAGTCCTCTTCATATAGCTTGTCAAAAAGGACCTGATAACGTGGTTTATTTGTTACTGAACAACGGTGCCAACATCAATTTACGTACAAACGATGGAGCCAGTCCTCTCTATTTTGCTTGTCAAAATGAACATTATAGCACGGTACAAATGTTATTTGACCACGGTGTCGACGTCAATCTATGTGATAAGAGTGGAGCCATTCCTCTTTATTTGGCTTGTGAAAAAGGACATGATAGCATAGTCCAACTGTTACTGAAAAAAGGCGCCGTCATCAATTCATGTACAAACGATGAAGTCAGTCCTCTATATATAGCTTGTCAAAATGGACATGACAGCACTGTAAAACTTTTACTGAACAACGGTGCCGACATCAATTCATGTACAAACGATGGAGCCAGTCCTCTTTTTATAGCTTGTGAAAATGGAGATGACAGCACAGTACATATGCTACTGAACAACGGTGCCAACATTAATTTACGTACAAACGATGGAGCCAGTCCTCTTTTTATAGCTTGTGCAAGTGAACATGACAGCACGGTACAACTGCTACTGAACAACAGTGCCGACATCAATTTATGTACAAACGATGGAGTCAGTCCTCTTTTTATAGCTTGTGAAAATGGACGTGACAGCACGGTTCATATGCTTCTGAACAATGGTGCCGACATCAATTCATGTACAAATGATGGAGCCAGTCCTCTTTTTATAGCTTGTGAAAATGGAGATTACAGCACAGTACATATGCTTCTGAACAACGATGCCGACATCAATTTATGTACAAACGATGGAGCAAGTCCTCTTCTTATATCTTGTCAAAATGGACATGACAGCACGGTACAACTGTTACTGAACAACGGTGCCAACATAAATTTATGTACAAACGATGGAATCAGTTCTCTTTATATAGCGTGTGAAAATGGACATGATAGCCCTGTACAACTGTTACTTAACAGTGATGCCGACATCAATTTGTGTACAGACGATGGAATCAGTCCTCTATATATAGCTTGTCAAAATGGACATGACAGCACTGTAAAACTGTTACTGAAAAATGGTGCCAACAGCAATTCATGTACAAGTGATGGAGCCAGTCCTCTTTACATAGCTTGTCAAAATGGACATGATAGTACGGTGCAACTGTTACTTAACAGCGGTGCCGACAAAAATTTATGTTACAAGAATGGAGTCAGTCCTCTTCATGTAGCTTGTCAAAATGGACATGACAGCACGGTACAACTGTTACTAAACAACAACGCTGCCGACATCAATGTATGTAATGCGAATGAGGCCAGTCCTCTTTATATAGCTTGTCAAAATGGACATGATAGCACGGTACAGCTGTTACTCAGCTACGTTAAGGAAACAATTGGATTTTAGCTCGCGCTGAGAGGAACTGTAGCTCCGCCCATCTCATGAATATAAATGAGGAAATTTGTAAATCTCTAAAATATTTCCTAAGATTGAAATGCACCAAATTATGAAATATTTTTTAAATTCCATTTTAATCAACAATATATTTTTCTCCATATTTGTCTTCAAATAGCGACGTATTTTTTAAAAAATACGCAATTTTCTTATCGTTTGATTGCCTATCTACGTCCTCGCGACGCTTGAAAAACGCACATGGCAAGAGAGGAAGACATGACAGGCGCGATGAGCAGTTAGCTGGAAAACATCATCACCTATCAAGGATGACTGCATATAAATGAGTTTTGGTAAGCCTGAAATGTGTATACATGGTGTTTTTATTATGCAATTATATTAATTTGCCCTGTGATTAATCATATAACACTTGTTTTAATGGTGAAATTGGTGGATTACGAGCTCCGATACTTGGCGATAGCTGACTAGCACTGCACAAGCACACAAATGTAAAGCATTTTTGCTAGGCATAAATATCAACAAATACTTCCTCTGTTAAACATGCTCTTAGTAACTATCATTGTGTGGCAGAATTATCACAACAGTCATTTTGTTTTAAATCTGGTAGTTAACTTTTAACACGTGGTCTTTAAACGCTACATACCCAATGCATATAATGTAAACCTGTTACTAAACGTGCCCGAATTAAAACTCGACATCCGTTAAAAATGTGTTTTCACCTATTGTCCATTTCTGTCAAACTTTTATGATTACAATTACTCTAAAATAAATAAAAGAAAAGATCTTTACGAAGAAAGAAAAAGGTATTCAATTCCTATTCATGGCATGAAATGAGTTGACTGGACTACCCCATCGTCGCAAACCACGACCAAAATGTATGATTCTCTCCCATTCTGAAAGAAAGCAATATTATGTATGTGCAGACTCCAAACTGTAGCTCGAAATGATAGTGGTACTCATATTGTCAGACAACTCCATCCACCGCGACCCATTGACATCTCGACCCAATGACAATGGCCAAACAGTGTCAAATGGGGTCATACTGGAGTTGATTAAGTGTTAATTACTAGCAGCCTCCATTGAATATTGTTTCGAGCATTCTTGTGGAAACACATGAAATTAATTAATGGTTTCTGACTTTCAGGCATATTAAGAAAATTCAAAAAATCACAAATTATAAAGCCCCAAGCTAATAAGAATATTACATGTTGTCCATTCCATTTCACAGATGAATGACTTCATAAGTTTAAATTTGTCAGACAAATACAATGAATGTTTTTAATTTTTTTGTGAGTTATCTGAGTGAATCACACAGACTTGTCATGTAGGCATATTTTATGAATTGCACTAAAAGTCTAGTGCTTCCTCATGTTCATGAAAAATATGCATACCTGCTTACCTGCAAGTACAAAAAATTCAATTGCACTCGAAATCTCAAAAGACAACCCTTAATTTTTATATGAAAACTTTTCAAAGTTAAACAGCTGTCTCTCTATCTTTTAAAAAAAAAATATTTTCTACACGATAATCGGACTTTACAAGAGGTGGTATATGTCAACATCAGGGCATTTTCTGCCCTACTTAAATAAAATGTTTGTCAACTGGTCAATTGTCACGCATGGACACTTCTGTGTATTTCAACGTCATGAAAAATTCACACCTTTCGTACTCATGGGTTGATTACATACATACTGCCTCTGTATATAGAAATATGTTTGTAGAGGAATTTCAAGCCCCTCGGTTTCTCCGAATTGTCAATTGTTTAATGTTCACCTGTTCAGCTTGGGTAATATCATTAATAAATCTGCTCATTTCTGCATAAATTTACGACCATTTATTTATGTCGAAATCTAACAAATCTTTAACATTAAAAAAAGAAGAAAAGGAATACACACATTAAATTCAATTTAACTTAAAAGTTTTAAAAATGCATTCAACAGGAAACAATCCAATCTACGAAATGCGCACAACTAGCCGTTATATACATGCAATTCACTAGCCGTTAAATACATGCAATTCATGTATTACACCATCAATGAGTTTGTTTTAATACGCAAATCCTTTAAAATTTTGACTTGAAAATGAACTGAAAAATAATCATGATAAATGAAGATGAAATAAAAAATAAAAATGAGGAAAGTCAAATGATTTTTAAATAATACGCATTGATTTTTTTCGTACCATGGAAGTCAAATTTATACAGTTATGGTTTGGACTTTATAGACCACATTTCGTAGCCTATTCTGAAAAAGCCAGTTGCACACCGTTAGGCTGACAGGAAAGCTTTTATTAGTAAAATTAGCAGATTACCATTTGTGAATAATTTCTCGGATTTTCTATGAAACAAACGAGCAACAGTATGGTGAAGACTTGTACGTTTTTAGGTAGTTACACCTCGTATGTTTTACTAAGCAGTTACTAAATTATTAAGGACGTCGAACCTCAACTCGGATATCTCGACATCTCAGGTAGCTCGAATTTCCCGATTGCCCCGCCAATGTCAAGATAACGAAGTTTATCTGTATTTTACAGTCTTTATTTTTCCATTAATTAGTCAGTGCTGAACAATATGTTGTTGCATATAAATGATTTGGAATACATATGTAATACTTTTATTAATACATGTATAGAAATATACATATGTATGTATGAGGGCTGTTGAAAAATAAGTGTATATTAACTGGAAATTGAAGTGGGTCGGTCAAGTGATGCCTTCTCAGAAGATTTGATCACATATTGACCGAAGTAAACAATCAATGCAATGGTGATTTCTGCTAAAAAAAAATACATTAGTCTATTGTCTTTAAACATTTTTCCTATGCAAATAAGGCACTCATCACCTTTATGTTCTAAACGAATGAAAAAGTCTCAATATGTATATTCATACATGATACATTTTCTCCAAAAAAAAGTTTCTGTTAGTGTTTAGAGCTTTCTTAATCTTTAATGATATGTTCGGATTAATCATCCAAAATTGATACCCATTTACAACATTTTGATATGAAATTTTGTGATCATGTAAGTAAAGATTCGTATATATTATATGTGACATTTTACCCAATTATGTATTAAATATTTTTACTGTGCAACAAGTTTTGAACGGCCCTCATACGTTAATTAACCCCAAAGATTTTTTTTGAAATAATTTTGCTGTAATACATTTACAGTGGACCCTCAGATATCCGGACGCCAGATATCCGGATGCTTCAGTATCCGGACGATCTTTCAACGGAACGAAATTTTTAATTGTTATTTTGTCTTATTTAAGTGGTGATTCAGATATCCGGATGCTTCACATATGCGGACATATTGACTGGGAACCAAAGCGTCCGGATAAATGAGGGTCCACTGTATCATGTTTATAGTCTAAGTAGTAATATTAATAGAAATACATCCCCCATTGTCTCATTAATTCTTCTGCGTATTTTTTTAAGGATTTGTCATTGCCGGTTGACGTCAGCTGTGAATGCCTCCTGCTTACTGCCAGCTGAAGCTTGGTCAAAGCCACCTCACAAGATTGTTGAAGGGTTTTGTCTCCAGGTTGACGTTTCAATAGCCGTCTGTATTTGGCATATTCTTGGACAGTGGGATCACCTGGGAGAAGGCAGGATATCTTAAATGTCATCGAGTCCTGATGTCTCTCTAAGTGTGGAAACAAGGATAAAATAAGTACAGGTATCATGATATTTCACTCAAGTTAGAGTTTATCTGATATATCTCATTACATTACTGACACTCTTGTTAATCTTGCTATAAGATTTTTAGCCAGGCTCATTGCTCGTAGAGCAATCCCCGGCTATTGCGACGGTGAGCAACAGAAAATGCTGCCTCTTCACTGCCAAATTGAGTTTACAAGTAAAAATGTAGTATGTATGCCCAGCTGCTTTTAGGAAAACAAAATGCATTCAAACAATTTAAGAAATACATATAGTAAACCGAATATTTTTTTTCAAAATATTAAATTGTTTAATATTTTTCTTGGCTCCTTTGACTAATGTTTTGCAAAGCAATTTAATAGGTTTTCACATGGTCCTTTGCGACGGTGTTCAACCGGAAATGCTGCTTCATCATCGCCAAATTAAATTTACGAGTAAGAATATAGTATGTTTGCGCAATCACATTTGAGGCAATACAAAAACTGAAATAGACTTTCAAAGTTATCTGAAATTTTCAAAAAATATAATTATAAGAAAATACTTTCTATTGTCTTCAACGATTAATTATTTGCTTAAAATTAGCAAAAGGTTTTCATCAGGTATCCCTGTCTGCGTCATATTCTATAAATGAAGGTTGTAATATCAGGTTATCACAAATGCGGGGAACATGATAAATGACTTGCTGTATGCTTTTATGCAAAACTCCCCGCTGGGAACAAATCTGTGCATAATCGCCTGTCCTTTAATAATCTTGCTGCATCAGTGTTTATTTACTTCCTTTGGTATAAAAAAACCCTGAAACTATACACATGACAAATATTTTATGCTGTTAAAATTTAGCTACATTTTATTTAATTTTTAAAACTTTTTAGCTCACCTGATCAGCCGAAGGCTCAAGTGAGCCTTTCTGATCGCATTTTGTCCGTCATCCGTCCGTCTGTCTGTCTGTCCGTCTGTCCGTCTGTAAACTTATCACATTTTCGACTTCTTCTCAAGAACCGCTGGACCAAACTTGGAACAAAGCATCCTTGGGTAAAGGGAAATTTAAATTGTTAAAAGGAAGGGACATATCCCCTCGCAAGGGGAGATAATCAAGAAAAGACAAAAATAGGGTGGGGTCATTAAAAAATCTTCTTCTCAAGAACCACTGGGCCAGAAAAGCTGAAACTTATGTGAAAGCACCCTAGGGTAGTGTAAATTCTAAATTGTTCAAAGCATGACCCCCGGGGGAAGGGTGGAGCCACAATGGGGAATCAAAGTTTTACATAGAAATATATAGGAGAAATCTTTGAAAATCTACTCCTCAAGAACTACTGGGCCAGAAAAGCTGAAACTTATGTGAAAGCATCCTAGGGAAGTGCAGATATTAAATTGTTCAAATCATGACCCCCGGGGGAAGGGTGGGGCCACAATAGGGAATCAAAGTTTTACATAGAAATATATAGGAAAAATCTTTGAAAATTTTCTTCTCAAGAACTACTGGGCCAGAAAAGCTGAAACTTATGTGAAAGCATCCTAGGGTAGTGCAAATATTAAATTGTTCAAATCATGACCCCCAGGGGAAGGGTGGGGCCACAATGGGGAATCAAATTTTTACATAGAAATATATATGAAAAATCTTTGAAAATCATCTTCTCAAGAACTACTGGGCCAGTAAAACTGAAACTTATGTGAAAGCATCCTAGGGTAGTGCATATAATAAATTGTTCAGATCATGACCCCCGGGGGAAGGGTGGGGCCACAATGGGGAATCAAATTTTTACATAGAAATATATATGAAAAATCGTTGAAAATCTTCTTCTCAAGAACTACTGGGCCAAAAAAGCTGAAACTTATGTGGAAGCATCCTGGTATAGTGTAAATTTTAAATAAGTCATGACCCCCGGGGGAAGGGCGGGGCCACAATCGGTAATCAAAGTTTTACATAGAAATATATTGGAAAAATCTTCTTCTCAAGAACCACCGGGCCAGAGAAGTTGAAATTTATGTGGAAGCATTCTTGGGTAATGTAGATTTTGAATTGTTCAAATCATGACCCCCAGAGGAAGGGTGGAGCCACAATGGGGGGATCAAAGTTTTACAGAAAAATTTATAGGAAAAATCTTTGAAAATCTTCTTCTCAAGAACCACTGGGCCAGAAAAGCTGAAACTAATTTGCACATGGAAGGATCCTGGGGTAGTTGATTTCAAAATGTCTTAATTATGATCAGTGGAGTAGGATGGGGATACATAATGTATTACAAGGGTGAAATCTTGTGAAGAACAGAATGGTCAAAGCTTCTCAGGTGAGCGATGTGGCCCATGGGCCTCTTGTTTATGCTACATGATACATAGATATACAATCTCTCTTTGTCTGGATTGGCTTGTTTCTAAACTGTCGTCGCAGTCATAGTTCATAACCCTGTAA